CACGAACAATACGCACGTAAACCCTTTCAGGTGATACCGACTTATTACTGACAACGACTTTGAATTTATAAAAGTTACCTTAACCTTTGTTGACCGACTTATAAAACTACTTTTCCCGACCGTCTAAAACTGTCTTAAATAAACGATTAGAACTTTTCAGTACTTACGTTCGACTCCTGTTATTTTTTGACCCAGAGTGGTTCATTTCCCAGTTTGTGAAAAACGACGTTCATTATGAAACAAAACAGGACCATATTTTGAAGGTTCACGATGGAGAATGGAGTGCGAAAACCGTGTCTCCAACACTTCCACTTCAAGTAATATATCTTATATGTTTAATATTATTTAGGTTGTGTACTAGACATATCTTGACCTAGCCACGTTTCAAAGAGTTAAAGAGTTATTTATTTCTATGGGATGGAAGTAGTCGTGTGTGATGTTAGCCCAGACGCTAAAAATCCATCACTCATTACCGGAACCTTTAACCGGACGCTACGAGTAAGTAGGGTGTGTCAAACCAATGCATAAGTAAGACGAAGAAACCACCGAATGTGTCTTTTATTGCCGATTAAATAGTCTACAACCGTCCGGAGGACGTCTCAGTTCGATAGAGAAGAGAACGCTCCGATAATGTTCCGGCCGAAATCACCGTTTAAGGGAAGGTCACCGTAAGACTCCGTCTCACCACCCCTCACACACCGTCGCCCATCGTGCGGACGGGACATCGCTACATAGACCTTATATTATAGATTGGAGCATAATCGGGGAGCACGGAGGATATGAAACACACTCCTGTAACGAGATACTGTTTGTCGTGACCTTTAATTCACGTATATCAAGTATACAACAAGAAGATTTTTCATATTTAACAGACTACAGTAAACGGAACACAACGTACCGTATTGACACCAGGTACAATAGGGGGTTATTTTTTTTCCCTTATAAAATGTAATAAGTCGGGAACAGTGGATTAAAGAGGGGGAACAGTGGTGTAGTGTGTAGATGTGCTTGGATCACTACTTACAGATCAAAATTATTTTGTACAACGCTACTTTACGACCAGTTTTACCGAAATAATAAAATTACATTCGATTTTGTAATTGGAACCAGGGACATGCGCTAGTTGAAAAACTGAACAAAACAAGGTACTCACAACAAACACGATACAACAACATGTCCTTCGGACGTACCGCCGAGAGACAGACCCGGGGGGGCTCCGTTATCCACCGGTTCCGGTCCAGACGGGCCGTATGTGCCCCTGCCCTTCCGATTTGTGAACCCCGACAAGTATGACTGATGGTGATGTGTGTGTGCGCTACGACGTGGCTATGTTGTGCAACCGGGATGAGGACCGAGCCCCCGGGGAGACCAATTGTCTACGGGAAAGGACGGTTG